ACGCTGAACGTACCGGTTAAGGTATGTACTAGTTAGACTTGTGTTTACGCGTTTGTTCTGCTTGTATAGATATAGGGAGTGAACGTGATTTGTTAGTGAATTTCCCCCTTCTACACGGAGTTCAGTGTGAGCATGTTGTGCAGTCATTCACCTGGGTGAATAAATATTACTTCATTGATTGTTCGGAAAAGACACTAACGTTCTTTTAGCGAGAAGCGTTACATTTAATATTCCACGTTTAGACGCTAATGTTGTACTCTATATACCATTTTGCATTTTGTTTGTGCCTCACTGAACTCTTATACACTTCTTGTTTGAACTGACATTTTGTAAATTGTGAACGAATTTTGGGTTCGACTATTGTATTCTTTGTGTTTGAAAGCCAGATAACCACATATTTGAGTGTTTGTACCATATTTGTCTGACACATTTCGTTTAACAGAACAATAATCTTTCATTCCTTCGGCATTCTGTTACCAATATAATTCTGTCTGGAGCCATTTTGGGATTTTTGGATATGGCCAATTTTAATTGGATCCATCTGGTTTATGTTGGATTTGGCAGAGTTTGTTTGGAATAATTTGGTTTTTTTCGTTTAGGGAGAAGACTGCAAGTCTTTGTCTTTAAGAGTTATGCACGCGGCACCTGCAACAACAAACAAGACCGGAATTGTCAACGCTGATATTGGGGATGTGCTTCGATACATTTCAGACACCTAGGACGTCGCTGAAAGGATTTTGTCAGTTATCAAAACTTGTCGCCTTCACTCGACACTGTAGATAAAGTGTTTATCTACAAGCGATCGGTAGCAAAGAGCCCTGGCAACGAAACAGCCTAATGTCCCCGTCTAAACCCAAGTAACTACCATTTATTACATGACGGTATAGTTACAAGTGCAGTTGTAAGATCATTTGTAGGACTATGTAAACGCTATATGGACGAATGAGGCATATAGACAGGCTTTTTGAATTTCTTTCAGACACACCCAATTAGGCTAATCAGATGATTTCTCATTCCATCTGCTGTACATAAAGATCAGACTAGTAGTATAACAACAGAAGACAAGAGCTGGGCAACAGATCGCTTATTTAGGAAATCAACACACATTTATATATTTTCATGTACATTATTATAGATTATTGTCAGTAGACAAGCATAGTCTTCTGATTGGTTGTTTCGCACTGAAAGTTAATCTTTCATTTCTTTGTGGCTATTTCTTGAAGGTCAGATCATCTATGTGCTAATTGTATCCGCACACGCAAAGTCTGCTGTATTTGGTTGTTGAATCAGTCTTTGTTCATATTTTTCTCACGACCAATATTTGGGACATAAACATTGATGTAAATTAATGTCTACCATTTTGGACAGCAGCCAGCTCTCACCACAGTAGAATATGAGGTTCGGATGAAATGTACTCAGTAACCTTAAACGATTTGTTGGTGTGCAGTTGACGTTCCGCATTTACGAAGCTAGCTTGTGTGTTGCCTTATCTTGTCCTTAACCTAATGAACATGGGCAGAATTCAGAGATGTACTCGCTTCACGACGCGAAAATAGGTAGTTCATCCTTATTTCTCAAAATGAGCATAGTATAGTTGATGAATGAACAGTATAAACTGGTTTGGTCTATAGCCATTTAGTAGTCTTATCTGGGATGCCGTGATATGTTTCCGTTGTTCAGCTTTTCCATGAACCTCAGCCTTATGAAGACCCATTATCTCATCGTCCTCTAAGATTAGTGTTCACTTAAAAACCTCACCGGGTATTTATCCCTACTTGGTAGATAATGAATACTGACGAGTTAGTTGTTGAGTGCCTTGTCCAAACAGATGACTTTAAGAAGTTGAACTAAACCTAGAGGCAACTTTGGTCACCGTTACTTATCCGTCTACTTTGTGTGGGACTAGTTTTTAGCCACAAATCCTCAGCATGGCCTGTCCTACTCTGGAGTCCACAGTCCAGTTGGAGTAGGTTAGATACTACTTTTACTGTTGCTTAAGGAAGTATTCAGGTAAATTCGATAATGGGAAATGGTTGGAATATACAAACGCAGGTGTAACGATAAACTGACCAAGGAATATAACTTACACGGTGTCTAATTGGTTCCATGAATTCCTTTGATTTCTGCCTCCTAGCAGGAGATTCGATGAACGCGATTAACATTTCAATGCTTGCCTTCCCGAGGAATACCACTCTTCATCCCTGCAGAGAAGAGTCAGTGGTTCTGATGGTATTGATGACTCTGGACAGTCCTTCTCACTAATCTTAATGAATAGAGAATATGGAGTAAAAACAAAGAAATGGGTTTGACCTGAAAATTAATAAAAACAAGAAATTCAATAAGTAATCAATAAACTAGGGCTTTAAGCGACACTAGGAATATGAAACCGGGAAGTGCGATTCCGTCTCCCACAAATTAAATCCTACAATAGTTCTCTGTCAGACACTAGTAAGTGATGAGATGTGTTGGCGAAAATGAAGATATTCGCGTTCGGTTTTCTCATTTAGTAGTCCAAAGAACAGTATTGTACTTTGATAACACCACTTCAGGCGTTTAGCTGGATAACTACCGGCATAAGGCATATTGTCAATCAGGTTTAGTGTCATCAGATCACTTTTTTATCTAAAGTGGTGCAGTCGTGTGGCTAGATTAAAATAATTTTTATTTTTTATTCCTAAACGTTCCCAGTAGAACACAGGGCTTCAAGCTAGAGGTGTTTATTTCTACAGAATGTGCTTGCTGACCTCATGCCCAACCTTTTCTCTTTACCAGTCTTATTACTAGCTGAGAGGAGGAAAGGAGTGTATCAGTTGGAGATCGAATCCCAAACCACATGCCTGGTTGGCCGGTATTCTACCGCTGTGCCACAGACTCACATGTCTTTGGCTGGATTAAAATTATTTTAGCGAGACCGTAAATTTTATTCCTTAGTAGCAGAATACCCCTTCCTTTATTGACATTTTGACCTGCTCAGACCGCAGCATTCTCTGTATGTTGGGACTAAGGCTCAATACATTCACTGTTGTTTATGGAAACTCTTCTGTTATAGGAAAACATATGTAGTAACGGGCAGAACCTTTACTGGTGTAGAAGGTCAGATAACATTTTTCGTCATTACCAGTGAAATTCAAAGAAAAGTGAACAACTCAGCATAACCCTTGCCTACTTATAATCTTGAGAAGACGTAAATGCAATATTCTTTCTTTATTTCTTGGGCGGTATGAAAGGAATTCTGGACACATGGAATGGATCAGGGTATGGCGACATCTGGCTTTGTGGTTCAAGCAGATCATTGCCGAGACGAGTGGCAACAAAACAGTCGTGAACGTCGCTTCTAGCTAGAGCTGACAAGCAAACAAGCATTCAGGTAACCATATAAAAGAAGTGGCTACACTTCTCCACGGAAGTCAATACCGATTCGGTTCCAGTTAAAAATCATAATTTTCAGAATTATGACCTATAACGATGCTTCAGTCGGCGGGTCCAGGCTGTAAACGTGTTAAATTTAAGATTTAAGGACCAGTTAACTGTAATAAAAATTTCTGTTTGGACGCTGTGATGGCAAAGCCGAACAAACAGTTGTATGAGGTCTGTCGTCAGCGACTCAGCCTGAAGATCACTGACAGTCAAAATATATTACGATGTGGTGTAAGGGACTATAAGGCAAGCAGTTCACGGTAGTTTTCACCAAATAGCCCCCGAGTTTGGCTATGGATAGTTCAACAAAAACCTGCCCAGAAAAATCCAAACGATACGATAACTGCAGAAAATTAACTCCTAAATTTTGTCTCACTAAGCAATTTATAAGGAAACTCACTGAACAGATAACAGATACCGAGGGAATGGAGGTTTAGAGGCTGACGGTATTGACGTTCACGGATAGTACGAAGTATACTAACGCAAGATCTAATACCCACAACTTCTATAGTAGACCAAAGGCAAAGCAAAAGACAATATTTGATCGTCCAAATTACGAGATATGTTTCGGGACCAAATCGGATTGCTAGATGATTGCTTAGCTGGCTAGGGATCGTGCACGAGCGTGACACGACGGAGTACCAAATGGCGTGGATGCTTGACTGGAAGCCTTCAGCTAAACAAGTCGACTTAAACAGTGAGGGTCAGCATCCAATGTTCAGTGATGAGTGCTGTGGTCAATAATTTTGGGGAGTTATTTACCGCTACAGAAGTTACCCACCCTACCTTTGTAAAGGTAGGTCGAAAAATCTCAAGCGCCACTTACCCTTAGTCCTGCTGCCAACATTATCACAAGTGATGAAAAGTCTGCTAGATAATCACATTAAGGAACACCTAGGTAAAAACGTCACAGATGAATCTCAAGATGAATCAAGATGAGTCGAATGAGTCAAGTCACATGAATCCGACTATATTCAATGTTACGAACGTAAGTCAGCAAATACTTCACTTGAAAACTGTACACTTGTCTAGTGCGATTACTGAAACAACGTTAATTTGTGACCCAGGTCAGAGGTTGTAATCATTCAGTAGCAAAATATGGCGGGAAATGTTAATCCTCGCAAAAGTAGAACGAAGAACTGTCGGTGTAGAGACACCCTCTCCCATGGGGAGGAAAAAAGCCGTTTTAGGCTGCTCCTGATAGAAGAACTGGCCAAATATCTAGAACTGTTCCAAAATAACATCAATCAGGCGCCAAGAAACTACTAGGTTGCAAAGATATTGGAAATAAGATATTCCGTTTGGGTCATTTCTTCTGTTCCTCTTTTCGTTTCCATTATTTCATCATCTACTTAGTTTTAAAACTTGTCTTCGTCATGAAATCTGCCAGTAGCAACAGAGACACAATCTTGAAGTCAAACTCTTTTTCTTTTTCCGCTGATGAAGGTGAAATGATAGATCTACCATATGTATATGCAACAAGTGTCTGAAACTTCCTACTAACACTTAGGAACAAACAAAGAAATGAAAAGACCAATATGCGAAAAAACATTGGATATTGAATATTCGGTGGTTATTATGGTATGCGTTGTTACTTGATCATCGGTAATCGTTATGCCCGCTATAGGCCGTTGATCAACCAGAGGTATGTGTGAGAAGTTTATTTCAGAAATGCAGTTAAAAATATTTCGATTTGTGCTGTAATTATGTATGCAGTGAGGAGCATTTTAACCGTGGTATTGTAATGTTAATGATATTTGTATGCACATGGTTTTTACCTGAAGGTTAATACTGTTACCTTGGTGTATCATCCTGAGTTTTGTTTACTGATGAATTTCCATTTATGCATTTGCTCGTGATACTTCCATATTAGCGACCCCTAATTTTATGACTTTGGAATTCTATAGTATTCTTGTTATCTTTGTTCACCATAATAATGCACGACTATGTCTTCAAAAATTGTGTAAGCTTCCACTGTAATTCTCGATCTTAATATGCTGCTTTTCTGTTTGTCCACATAGTCCAGCTAATAACCCAGCTAGCTTTTTCTTCATGAGCATCGCAGAAAGCGGGACGATTATCTGCAGTCTGCCCCAAAGTTTGCCCCAAGCTTCCTGCAGTGCGCTCGAAGTCAATGCTAGATAGATCTTTTGTCTGACTGCTATACATGAAAGCTAGTTGAATAGCGAGTTTGTCTTCAATTTGATGTATGAATCTGTGTTCAAAAATGGAGTTGACTAGTGGGTTTTTCCATCATGCAACTTGAAGCTTCATGGAAAATTTCAAATGTTTTGATGATTTTTTTCTTTTGGCAAGTAAACACTTCTTGTGGGCACTTAATCAACAGTTTAAATTACTGCCTAAATATGAAGTTGATTTCTAGCGTCAATTCATCTTCAACTTAGCTATAATTAAATGTAAATCACTTTAATAATGTTAAAACATATCCAACCACGCCTATGTGTGTTTCTATAGGTTCAGTTAACATCCACTGTTATTTCCTTGAGAGGATTTGACTGTCTTCGCTTCTGAATTTTCTGTCAATCCAAAAATCTGTTGTCGAGAAAATATAGGAGGAGACTATTTTGATGTCCACCAATTTATGACACCTTTTTGGGAAACAGATGTTCTATATTTTTTGACACATTAAATTTTTGTAGTAAACTTTATGAATGTAATTTGTTACTCGATATATAGTTTATATTGACTTTAGACGTATCAATATTAGCATGTCTTCTTGGTGTGTTACGATTATCATCAATCAAACAATCATCATTAACATCAAACTTAACGTCTTTGTGATAGGCTGCAGGTCACACATATAATCTCCATATTAATTAAAATATAAAAGCGAGAAATTTGAGAGTTTACGAATTAAATTGTCAGAGGTTCTGTTATGATGTAAGGTGGAGGAAAAAGTATGAAATAGGTAGAGACATAGAGTGAAGATGAAAACATGGCATGAATGCATGTGGTCTCTGTTTACTTATCGCTATCGGCCGATAATATGCATCAGCCTTGTTTTTGCATTTCTAAATCGCCTAAAAGACTTGTAATTCCCGGTTAAATTTCAAAACAACTGATTAATTAAAATTAATCGTGTTTAATTTTCATTCAAAGTTTTATAATCTACTAAGAAAGCTTTATCTAGTATCATAGAAACTCATACCCTGAATACTTTTAAAGATCGATTCGACACTAGGAAAGCATATGGTTTGCGACAACAGAGTTATAAGCTAATGTAGATCTCATCTTTCGTTTCCTTTGGTAGTTTTCGAAGTTTTATGGCACGAAAATATGTAGTTAGTTTTGTCAACAGCACAGTTTAATTTACTTCGTTAACATCTTTCTCAAAATAACTCTTCCCATAGATTTGTACCGTACTAAAGATGTAGGTTTAAGTAATTCACAAATCCTTGTAAATTGTAAACTTCGTAAAATTTCCATGGAATACACATTAATCACTACAAATTTCGCCTATATAAGAACATATTAGTTTGCTTCACATGTAACTGACTAGTAGTTACTGTTCCCTTCTTTAATAGAGGTTGGTTTTACTTATCATTGTGACAAACTTTGCCAAAGGTTTTAGGAAATAAAATAGTAAGAATTCATCGGTCGGTCGGTCGGTCGGTTTTCGACATAGAACTTTGCACATATGTGCGGCAGTTCAAGTCGCCACACTCCATGTAGCACACAAAGCAAGAGAAGGAAGTAGAAGAAATGCATAATGGAAACAGTAAACAGAGGTGTGAGACAAAGGAATAGTAATAACGGAGAACAAAACAGTTTAATTGGAAATCATAAGTCACAAGGAGTGGATGCATCTGCGCCACTGAGAACGATTTTGAGCCATGTCACCAATTGTTTCCAACCATTGGTTTTTACCGTCCCGAGGACCCCGACCAGGAAGTCTACACCTTCCTTCGTGGCCAGCTTAAACTAACTGTTGTAGATTTCATTGATTGGTGCCATGTTTTCGTTTGACCGCCGCTACCTCTTTTCCAGCCTGGCCCTATATCAGCTAACATTGCCCGTCGAGGAAGGCGATGACTAGGCATACGTAACACATGTCCTAAGAATTCATGGAATTAACTAGACCTTTCAGCATTTGAAGGTGTGAGTTTTACAAAAGTCTTTCTACATAGTCGAAAGCTTATTTTTGATTTTTGTGGTTTGCAACCTTTTTTAAAATAATTGGTAAACAGATCAAATAAGCCAGATATTCATAACATAAGGCAATAGCCAATATAAGCATCCTGTTTTCAGTACATTAGTTATCAAGCACAGTTTTCTGCTTTAATTTAAAATGACTGATTATTTTTGGTGTTGAAATTCTCTCATATATGTTAAAAGACTACATACCAAGGTAGTTTAGTCATTGTTTAGAAACAAACACTCATTACAGTTGTAAGTATTTACCCTATTGCTTTAGAGAGTATATGTTAATACTGATTCTATTCATTTTTATGAATTATAGGGCTAGTATCGTCAAAAAATAGTTTACTGTATGGTTTATGGGATAAGGAAGCGAAAATGAGATCTACTGGTCAGTAGAGATTGAAGTTGTTAATATTTGTACATATATTTTCATCTTTTTTAAACCATGGATTGTAGGTATTCTAGTCTATATCTTGTCGTTTTCTTCCTTTCCCCTTTGTTTTCATAGTACACTTTTATTACCACTTACATAGTTCTCACTAGTTCTTCAGAATTCGGCCTCAATGTTCCCCTTCCTCCACTGCCTTTTTCTAATAACACACCCATATTTTTTGATAGGTGAACCTATTTTATTTAAAGCTAGTAAATCTGAAATGAGTAACGCGAGTTTGAGCAATGCAATAAACGATATGACAAGTAACCAAAATGGAATCATCAGACAGAAATAACAGTACACCTGTGCACCATAAAACGATGTTATCAGTACAATCGTTGTTTTTATTTTTTGTTTACTTTCATACATGTGTAATAATACAGATTCTGACAACACTCGATTATGTCCAGCTATATTTCGATCATATGTCTTTCTGGTCACTGTAAATAAATAATCGATGCATCTTGATAAACCACTTGACTCGAATTTTTCGTTGCTCTTTTTAGTGCCGAGAATGTCTGCAGTGTGTGCACTACAATATTTTGTTTTTTCAAACAAAAATACAACTGAGATTCACAATTTGATTTAACCTACTTTACGTGACCTTTATCTTGAGTCGCAAATCTTTAAAATACATTAGTTGACTCACGTACAGTATAAGGATACGGATATAAACGATTTTTTTGTAGGTTTTCTCATGAAATTACTTTCTGTCAATCAAAAGTGATTTTTTAATAATGATAGATGACCATGGCGTGTTGATACCGAAAATTATGTAATATTTCATGAATTCATGTTTCTTCTTTAGTTAATTCTCTGCTGTATGACTCATAACTAACACTAGTGGTAATTGGAGATATTCTGTGCATGTAAATGCATCATAACAAGTGGGAGTCTGTATCCAATCTTGAGTTACTTTGCATAAGTAGTATCATATGTTTTTAACTGATATTGTTACATACAGTAGATCTTTTCTATAGTTATCAATGTTTTGCTTGATTTTAAGGGCTACATTTTACAGAGGTCACGTTTCGAAACAATGAAATAGATAGATTGTGTTCAATTTTTGTTAACTTCCTAAATTCCTAACAAGTAAAATCTCTGGTGTGGTTGTGTTCTCTGAGCTGTGGGGTATAATGGTGAAGCTTTCACTGCCCTTCTAGACAACATCTTCAGCTCAAACTTCGGTATGAATAAAACTTATTTGAATTCTGCATAAATGATGTAGTTGTATTTCCTGACAATCTTCATCGTAATTGGTTGTTAACTTGCTTAGAATTTGACTTTTTTGCCATGTGATTTATTCTTTATTAGTTGACAAATTCAATCTACAATAATGCGTCTGTTAATTGCTAAGTACTAGGCTTCTAGAAATTTCCTGGCACTTTGGAATCAAATTTCCGCTTCTAGTTTATTTACTGAAAAGCCTACCATGTAAGGAACATCTACTTATCTGTTATGGTGGTACTCAGACATCATAATACTTATCCGCAAGATTTACCATTGTTTTTTGTAGTTAGCAAAAGGCACAATAAAATAATTCTCCTTTAGTTTGCCGTTGTTAGCGCACAGAAACTGTTTACTAAATCATAAAAATTGATGTTATAACTTCAAAATGATACTTTAATTGCTTTCACGTGAAAAATGTCTTATTACCTTATTATGTAGTGAATATATTGAAGTTATATAAAGTCGTTTTATGTGTCTTCAGTGTAATTTTTAATCTACACATTCTGAATAATTCTCTCGCCTACCTTTTTTTCAAATAAATAAATCGTCATCTTGTTTGATGTTTGATGTCCTTATATTAATCCTTTCTAAGGCGTCACTCTTATTTCGTTCTGTTGGTACATTGGGCTGCTTTAATTTCTGATTCATATGCTTATCAATTAATTTTTATGGGTAACCGTTCTCACTCAGCAACTGTTTAATAATATTAAGTTCTTCATTAAGACATTCATCAGAGCACATTGCTCTTGCTCTATGTACCAATCACTTTATCAGATTGCGTTTGAAGCTGAAAAAATGAGTATACTAACAGTCAGTTGATG